TTATTATTATTATTATTATTATTATTATTATTATTATTATTATTATTATTATTATTATTATTATTATTATTATTATTATTATTATTATTGTGTTTATTTAAATATAAACACTTACTTTCTATTCACAACAGCCCAGTCTTCTGTATAACTCCTTACGCAGTCTCTCACATGGGGGTCCATTTCACTGCAAATGAAAGAGATGAAACAAGAAGCAGGTATGACTATTTTTTCCAGACCACAAAGATTCCAAAAATCTTATTTCTAGTTGGTTAACAAATCTAAGTAGCCTCCACCATACAAATATTTATCTTTTCTTTTCAATTCATGTCCCCCTTCCAAATATATTGAATGTTCAGGGTACTTAACAAAAAGGAATTTAAACGAACAAAATATTACTAATGATTAGTTCAAAGCCTCCCTTTCCTTAATTTGAAATTTACTGAAGTATAACAACAGGGAAAAAAGGGCAAAACAGTGGTGAATGGTTGCCAAGAAAACTGACATGGACATGTTGGTGAATTCTCCAAGAACTGAATTTGATCTTGAAAGAGAATTTTCAAAAAAAATCCAATGAGGAAGAAAGAAGCAGGAAAGTACATAATACAGTTGGTACTTTAGTACTCATAGTTAATTGGTTCTGGGAGGTATAACGTAGTGAGGCACAAAGCAGCCGACACTAATAAGTTCTAGCCCAGGGTTAGGCAACCTTGGCTCTTTTATGACTCGTGGACTTCAACTCCCAGAATTCCTGAGCCAGCATGGCTCAGCTTGGAAACTCTCCCTTTTTCCTCAGCATGGCTGGCTCAGGAATTCTGGGAGTTGAAGTCCACGAGTCATAAAAGAGCCAAGGTTGCCTACCCCTGTTCTAGCCTATGTGTTGAGTATCAAACAAATGATGAGTATCGGAACAAAATTCAATGAGTTTCAAAGCAGTAGAGTACCAAGGTACCACTGCATACATAAATCTCAAACATACATATATATATATGGGATCTGTGTGTGATCTAAGTACATTTTTCCCTCTATTCGTTACCTTTCCTCTGGTACAGCTGATGCCAATGTTCTGCATTCTCGAGGGCTGTAGATAACTTCAGTATCATCGGAAGGAAATTCAAACAAGTCTCTCATAGGGCCAGAATCCACTGCAAGTGGATGCGTAAGAAGGTAATCTTCCAAATCCACTGGATCCACAGGCTCAGTAAGAGGCACCTATTAAAAACAAGAGAGAAAGAGAAAAAGGAAAGAAAATGACCAGGTTTTAAATACATAGTATATATAAAGATACACATTTCCCCCCCACACACACACACACTGCTTATTGGGTCTTTTCTGGCATCTAAGCATGATGCAGAACGGCCATTAAATACAAATATTTTTATACCGTATTTGAACATGCTTCCAGGCAACTGCTAGATCAGGGGTGTCAAAGCCGATTGCATCACTGGCCGTATCGTGATGTAGAGTCGGTTTGGCTGTGGCCTGCACGGGCTGTATCCGGCCCGCGGCCACGTATTTAACATGCTTGTGCTAGATAATTGGGGGGGGGGAATCCAAATTTGTACTGTAGCACATTTAACCCCCCACCTTGCCAGCCTGATGGAAAGCCCAGTCCTTGCAAACTTCAGTCATCGTCTCCCAGATATTGCGTCAGAGTGGTTCTTTAAGTACGGGTAATCCTTGACTTACAACAATTAACTTACTGACCGTTCAAAGTTATAACGGCACTGAAAAAAAGTAATTTACGACCATTTTTCACTGTTACGACCTTTGTAGCGTCTCCATGATCACATGATCAAAATTCAGCTGTTTGGCAACTGGTTCCTACTTATGACCATTGTTGTCTCCCAAGGTCATGTAATCATGTTTTGCAACCTTTTGATAAGCAAAGTCAACGGGAAAGTCAGATTCACTTAACAACCAGATTACTAACTTATCAACCGCAGTGATTCATTTAACAACTGTGGCAAGAAAGGTCATAAAGTGGGGCAAAACTCACTTAACCAATGTTTCCAAATAACAGAAATTTTAGGCTTAATTGTGGTCGTAAGTCGAAGACTGTCTGTAGGAAGAGGAATAAAATTAAATATGATCTTAAAGGCATGATCAATAGATCAAATCAAATTCTTACAACCGGTTCTGAAGAGACGTACTGCAATGCAGAAACCTTGCTAAAAATTTCTCAATGGATGGAAAATCCCTTAACAATTCCATGTCAACAATATGAAGTTTAAGGCCAGAGTGTCAACATAATGCTAGTTCAACTTTCCCAACCTGATGCCCATCCAATGCATCAAGCATCCCCAAATCCCCACATAATTTAGTTGAAGATTTTTAAGATGCAGAAGTCCAATACATCTGGAAGATAGCAGAGTGGTATAGATTGATTTATATGGATGCTCTTATTTCTGAGCTGTATCACTTTCTATTATACTACAGGTATAGGCATCAAAGTGATTCTGAAGACAGATGTTTCCACCCTGAAGCAAACCAAGTCATGAAACCTGAGAAGTGCTGAGCTGCAATGTCAGGTTAAAGTCACGCCTCTGAGGCCCGCCTCTCTGCTATTTAAAATTAATTACAGATGCAAAACAAAGCCTCTGATCTGACTTTTCTTCTGGGGGGGGAGATGTTTTACAACCTTCGTGCAAGTTTTTTCAGATCAGCAAGGGAAATACGAACAGATACTGCAAAAACTCTTTATAAGGCCTGTCATATTTCAGATTCACACACACCCCTGCCTTTATGCAAATTTGCAGTTGTGTTAATGAATATTTTCATTCCCGAATTTTGCTTTAACTGAAAAAAAAGCCTGCTATTACGCAATTTATATCAGCAGTTTGCATCAGGGATCTAAAAACTTTTCCCATCAAAATCACCTGAATATTTTTCCTACCAAATCCCTTTTTTGCCTTCATTCACGCATTTAGCATCCAGTTGCACAATTGTTGTAATTGTGTGTTTTCTCTCTCTCTCTCTCTCTCTCTCTCTCTCTCTCTCTCTCGTTCCCTTCCCTACCATTATTGTTGCTGCAAAACAGCCATCAACTTCTTGCCCAACCCCTTTACCCAAAAGAAAAAGGTCTGTTTAAATCGAGAAATAAAGTTGGACATATTAAGAGGCCTGATGGCGCAATGGTTAAAGTGCAGTATTGCAGGCAAACTCTACCCACAGCCTGGAATTCGATCCTGACGGGGCTCAAGACTGACTTAGCCTTCCATCCTTCCAATCTGAAGACCCAGATTGTTGGGGGCAATATTCAAATAATGCTTAGATTATTAACCACCCAGAGAGTGGGGTAGTATTTAAGCCTAAATGCTATTGCTATATCTTGCCACAGCTATTAAAATTCATAGTGCCATGATGCATATTCCTCTTTGTCTATCTCGATAACCATGTGTGTTAGAAATACTACTGAAGAAAAGTTGGAGAAAATTCTTTTAATTTTATCCAAAGTATGAGACAAGAAAGAAAACCTGTTTGAGTAGCTGTGCTTAAGAAAAGAAAATATGAGTATATTCTTCAGTTCATTTGGCACCGTATCTCTTTTTCCTCTTATGGGTCTATGTCTTACTATGTCTTGCTTTATACGAGATTTGGGAAAACATAAACCTGGCATAAAGCAAGGGAGGACTTTTGTATGAAGAATACAGACAATTCAGTTCCAGAAAAACTGCAAGGTAATAGATATTAAAGAAAATAAAAAATAAAAAAGGGAACAATATATAAAGCTTGCTCTACCGAAAAGGGCTTGAACCAAAGCCCAAATGGCATGATTATCCCAATCTATAGCTCTGTTTTATTTATGTGAACCTGAGCTAATGTGAAAAATGCTGAAAAAGAGAAATTATTGGCCATTATATAAGTCAGTATCTTACCCATTAATACAATTGTGCAATGAAAGAAAGATTTATCCCAAGATATATTGTGCATATATACTTATCTGCAGGTTATTAGGCTGATCAGGGAAATTATCCAAAGGCAGCACTGCACACATTCTATTTACACATTTATAAAAATAGCCGATGGTTAAGCACGCAGTTTTTTAACAGAGGACTATATGAATCAGCTATGCATGCAAATATTGTATTCAACTAATTCCGCAGCCTTTGAATTCCATTTAGATTTGTGTGCACGTTCAGAGGAAGGATGAATGAATCACAGACTAGGGTAACAGGCTGCAAAGAGAGTAATATGAGCAAAACCTTTTCCATCAGGGAAGTATGAAATGTACACGGAACAATAAGATTTCTATTTTAGATACAGACAATGTGCCAATGTTTCTCTTCAAGGACTGTACATCCTTTACTGGTTAGAAAGCAGAGTGCCAGTCACTGAATCACCAGATTGTAGGGTTGCAAGAAGGGTACAAGGTCATCTAGTTCAACTCTCTGCCATAAACACCAAAAAGCAAAAACTCCATCCTGAGGGCAGTAATGCTAAGAATTTCGTAAAATGTCTCATTTTTGCTCTCGTGGTTTTTTCAAGTGACAATCATACCATGAAGATATAAAGCAACATAAATATCAAACTAAGAAACCAGTATTAATCTCACCAACCTGCTAAGAGTAAGAAATGCTGCCTATCAGATGAATAAACAGGCAAAAGAGGAATTAATTTGTATTAACTTATTATAAGGAAGGTACAGAGAGATCTCCTTTTTGCTAAAACCCACAGTAAAAGGAGGTGGTTTTAACAATGTTTTACCCAATTACCCCTTTTCCAGGTCTTGAATAATGAATGTACAATAATTACACCACCATCACCCAGAGTCTGTTATTGTATACAAACACCTTTGCAGTGACAGTCCCAAACTGGATCTTCTACTTTCAAACAAATACAAATTGCTTCATGATCCCCAGTATATACCCAAATATGCTCCCTGGGAATAATTAACAGCTCCCCTCCCCAGTTTAAGAACTACTGTTATAAGAGATTTGTTGATATCAGCCTTCTAATAAAGAGACAGCCCGATCCTATTAAAAAATAATATTCAGACCTTTTCTTTCATAACTGATTATCAGAGGATGGAATCTCTCCTATTCTCTATTTAATAGAATACCACATAAAAGGTAGTTTCTTTTGTTTTAAAGATAAGTAGTTCACATAATCTAGAACAGGGGTGTCAAACTGCTGGCCCATGGGCCGGTTGCATCATACAGAGGCCGCGCCCATCCCAGCTCTGGCAATGCAAAAAAAGTTGCGATACATCGCAACACGTCACGTGACGCGGCACGTTTGACACCCGTGATCTAGAAAATAAGAACTATCTTACAACTGGCAAGGATATTCCAAGTTAATTTTCTTTCACTACTTCTTTCTGGGTTTTTTTTTTAAATACAGAAAGTCAAATTAATTCAATGTGTTATATGTCTCCTTTTCTGCTGTCAAGTGCTATCCATTGCCATGTTTCATGTGCTACATTATGTGCAGTAGAATCTGGCATATAAAGAATATTGTGTTCTTAGTATGCACTACAACTATTCCTTCCCATTACAGGCCTGCAAAGATTTCATATGTAAATGTATGCATGAAAAACTCCCAATACTACATTGAAAGTCATTTTAAAGTGATCTTAAATCAGTATAAATGTGCAAATGGCCTTTCACAAAAAATGAGATGCAAGTTTATTAGATAAGGTTTATATATACTATCATCTTTCAAGCCTTTTCCGAATGCGCAGGGAGAGTTACCGCCGCCAATGCTTACATTATAAAATCTTGTCTCAAATGTTTATTACTGGACGATTACAAGGACGTTGAAGCATTTTGCCTTTAAGGCTCTGTTAGTCTTCACTGCTATAGTACCTTGCAAGATTGAAAATAAAACTCTGCCTATCAACTTTGTCCTTCCCTGGATGTCAAACACAGTGTTTTGATGTATTTTAATGCTTTTCCCAATCAGCCAGTACTTGTTTCTGTTTGGTCTCTTACCTGCCTGTCTATAATACCACATGAGGGATGTGTTAGCTAAGCGTATCTATCCATTATTCCATCTATACAACACTGTTGTATTTCCTACAGCTGTTTTCATTTTTAAAACTGTCAAGGAATTTGATATATAAGCTGTTTTGTCAAAACAGGCTCACAGTGTTGCAGATTAATCAACATAGCTAGCATAATCTATATAGTTTTATGCTAAGAGAATCTCAGGTGCCCTTGTCTAAGTATGATGTAAATGTTCTCTTCTTTTAATATACTTTTATATAATTG